TAATACATAAGGGGGATATGATCTCCATGTATAATACATAAGGGGGGATATGATCTCCATGTATAATACATAAGGGGGGATATGATCTCCATGGGGGGGTATATGATCTCCATGTATAATACATAAGGGGGGGATATGATCACCATGTATAATACATAAGGGGGGGGGGGATATGATCTCCATTTATAATACATAAGGGGGGATATGATCTCCATGTATAATACATAAGGGGGGATATGATCTCCGTGTATAATACATAAGGGGGGATATGATCTCCGTGTATAATACATAAGGGGGGATATGATCTCCATGTATAATACATAAGGGGGGATATGATCTCCATGTATAATACATAAGGGGGGGATATGATCAGCATGTATAAATACATAAGGGGGGGGATATGATCGCCATGTATAATACATAAGGGGGGGGATATGATCTCCATGTATAAATACATCAGTAGTTCATATAGTGAACTCGGTGCAGAGGTATTCCCTGAGGTCATCACAGAGGACAAGGGGGCACTCTTTACGACTGGAGGAAAATAAATTTAATCTCCAAACACGGAAAGGTTTCTTCACAGTAAGAGCTGTGAAAATGTGGAATAGACTCCCTCAAGAGTTGATTCTGGCCAGCTCAGTGGATTGCTGTAGGAAAGTCCTGGATTCTTTCTTGAATACACAGAATATAACTGGATATAACATTTATAGATAAAGTTGATCCAGGGAATATCCGATTGCCTCTCGGGGGATCAGGAAGGACTTTTTTCCCCTGCAGGAGCAAATTGGATCAAGCTTTGCTGGGTTTTTTTGCTTTCCTCTGCATCAACTGTGGGTATAGGATTATAACTTGTTTTTTTTAATGGTTGAACTGGATGGACTTTTGTCTTTTTTCAGCCAGACTAACTATGTAACATCTTCATACCATACACGTAGGTGGCACACCTTACTAGGACTTGTCTCACTATGCCTTATCACCTCTCTGGGGTCTCTCATACATCTCAGTACAGGGGGCTTCACTCTCATCTTTATTCACAGACCCCGGAGACACTCAGACAATTGTCAAAGCTGAGGAAGTAATAGAAGTGAAGATTAAGGATGAGGAAGTTCCTATAGAGATCTGCCTAGGTGAGTTCTATTACAGGTAAAAGTCAATTACTTTGATTTATGAGCCTGGTGTTCACTCTGGAGGCACCAATAAAGATCATGTGTTGATTTGGGTAGTCATTGAACATCCTAGGTGCATCGATCACAGATCTACAGTCCTTTAAAGATTTCTTGGCAGCTTGCTTGGTGGGCGGTTTAACTACTTGCCGACCAGCCACAGTGCATATACTGCAGCTGGGTGGTATGGCAGGCGAAATCACGTACATGTATGTCATTTTGCCTGCTTGAGCTCAGGGGGCGCGTGCCACATGCTGTCCCACTGGACACAGCGGATTGTGGATCCTGGTACCTGGGGCCCGGAGATCATGTGATCGCTACATGATCATTTTGTTGACAAAGCAGTTATGAATTAATGCATTCATATCAGCTGTGATTGGCACATTATATCAGCGTCAGTGCGTTATATGGCAGACCTCTCCACCTGAACCTGGCCAGGTTATGGTCCCTGCTCTTAATGCCTGCATGGCGCTTGGATGACACCTCTGTTTGCCTCTGCCTGCTTCCCACCCCCCTTCTCCCCCTTTTTTTTTTTTTTCCTCTCTATGACAGAGACCCAGAATTATTGCTCCATATTAGGGCTTGAAATTTCCACTCACCTGCTCGCATTGGCGAGTGGAAATAAGGTGGGATCGAGTGTGTCCCCCAGGGCCATCTTGCTGAGAAGGCTCGGAACTCGGGGCCGGCTCTGTCACTCCCACTGGGGGCCATCAGATTGCTCAATAGCTGAGCAAAGGAAGGAGTGCATGCTGTGCTCTCTGCCTCCCCCTAGAGTGCAATACAGTAGCTCTGTGAGTGAAGGCAAAAAGTACTGCAACTTTTTCTAGGGCTGTGTACAGGGTGTGTGTGTGTAGGGAGAGCGGATATAGTGAATGCAGGGTCCGGGGAGAGCGGATATAGTGAATGCAGGGTCCAGGGAGAGCGGATATAGTGAATGCAGGGTCCGGGGAGAGCGGATATAGTGAATGAGGGGTCCGGGGAGAGCGGATATAGTGAATGCGGGGTCCGGGGAGAGCGGATATAGTGAATGCGGGGTCCGGGGAGAGTGGATATAGTGAATGCGGGGTCCGGGGAGAGCGGATATAGTGAATGCAGGGTCCGGGGAGAGCGGATATAGTGAATGCAGGGTCCGGGGAGAGCGGATATAGTGAATGCAGGGTCCAGGGAGAGCGGATATAGTGAATGCAGGGTCCGGGGAGAGCGGATATAGTGAATGCAGGGTCCGGGGAGACCGGATATAGTGAATGCAGGGTCCGGGGAGAGCGGTATATAGTGAATGAGGGGTCCGGGGAGAGCGGATATAGTGAATGCGGGGTCTGGGGAGAGCGGATATAGTGAATGCGGGGGTCCGGGGAGAGTGGATATAGTGAATGCGGGGTCCGGGGAGAGTGGATATAGTGAATGCGGGGTCTGGGGGAGAGCGGATATAGTGAATGCAGGGTCCGGGGGAGACCGGATGTAGTGAATGCAGGGTCCTGGGAGAGCGGATATAGTGAATGCAGGGTCCGGGGAGAGCGGGTATAGTGAATGCGGGGTCCGGGGTTTAGTAACTAGTTAGCATGAAGAAGCGTAGCTGTAGATTGTAAGCTTTTCCGATTCTTGTATCTTAAAGACACACAGGTATTTTTCCTATGATTCTGTGCAATCCATGTATCCTCTCTGTGTGCAGGTTGTGCTTAACTCCCTCTTGATGTTGTTTTTTTTCTGTAAACTGTATTCAAAACCTTTAATAAAATTTTAAACAAGAAAAAATGCATTCCCTAGAATGATGCATTGAAAATGAGGGACTGCTTCTAGAATGTTTTCAGCTCATTGTCAGTATATTGGGAAGAGCAGACAGTCTGCAAGATTTTCAGACAGGGAAAGTAAATGAGAAGTAAGGTGAGAAGGGTAATAAATACAGCTAGAAAAGAAAAGCTACAACATTAATGCCTCATGCACAATGGATGTTTTTACAGTGGCTGTTGTAGGCGTCAGTAGGTTTTTTTTTTTTTTTTTTTTTTTTCAGCCTGTAAATTCCCCAGCATGTTACCCTATGTGTCCATGCAGACGTAGGCTTTTATGAGCAATTTTTTGGCAGGGACATTTTCAGGCTGGAACCCCCCTCCCCTTCCCCCCTAGAACCACTGTGTTTGAAGAGGAGTTTTTTCGGCTGTAAAAATGCAAAGAAACGCAGCTATCCGGCATTTTTGAGACTCTAGCTTCTTTTTTTTTTTTTTAAGCAATATTTTTGGGCGCTGCCATTTTTTCCAGTACATTCCTACATTTCCCAGTATAGTTTGCTGCTCTAGCTTTTATTGTCTGGCCTTTGCTGTGTGCAAACCAGGAACATTTCCTAATGTCCTTTGCTGCCTCATTGTCTCAGCTAGCGGAGCTGTGTGCAAACAGGAAATTCCTTTTATGGTGATTTCCCAATGTCCTTTGCTGCCTCATTGTCTCAGCTAGCGGAACTGTGTGCAGACAAAATTCCTTTTATGGACATATGGAGGTAAAAAAGAAGCACACGGGGCGAAAATGTACCTCGGTTTACGAACACCTCGGTTAATGTAATTTTTGGTTTACGAATGAAAATTAATTGAAAATAATGCCTCGGTTTATGATTTTTTTTTCGCAATACAAACGGATAAATTGGTTTTCAATGCATTTACGAATTAATTTTTAATCCTGTCCCTGTACAGTACTTATGCCTTTAAAGTGCACTTTTATAAAGAGTTTTGAACAGATAAAACATTTTTTTTACTTTTTTCTGACCTCCAGAACGGATTAATCAGTTTTCAATGCATTTGCAAATTAATTTTTAATCATGTCACTGAACAGTATTTATGTCTTTACCGTGCACTTTTATAAAGAGTTTTGAACAGATAAAACTTTTTTCTTTTTTTTTTTTTTACTTTTTTCTGACCTCCGGAATGGATTAATTGGTTTTCAATGCATTTACAAATTAATTTTTAATCATGCCCCTGTACAGTATTTAGGCCTCTAAAGTGCACTTTATAAAGAGTTTTGAACAGATAAAAGGCTTTTTTTTACTTTTTTCTGACCTCCGGAATGGATGAATTGGTTTTCAATGCATTCCTATGGGAAACCGCGTTTCGGTTTACGAAATTGTCGCAATACGAAACGTCCCGAAGAACGCATTAAATTCGTAAACCGAGGTACACCTGTACATGCAGCGGTAGGGAAGCAGTTAATATTTTATAGCATGTTTGGTTCTTTAAGCATTATAGAAATGTAATCCTTGTTATGACTCCTAGGTTGGTTCAGATTTTAAAACATTCGTAAGTATGTCTGGTGGTGTTTCAGGGAATGTTTATAACAATGGTGAATTTTTGTACTGTGAGGTAGGTGGATGGAAGGCAAAGTTCATACATTAGTTGCATTCAGTGATTTCATCGGTTCCTCACCTAGATTCTTATTCTCCCCAATTTCTTACTTCCTCTAGATAGACCACACGACTGGTATAAAATGGATAAATGTCCAGTTTTCTGGCCAAATGATGAAAGAAATGGTGATAACATTACAGCTGATTGTCCAGGAGAAGACCTCATAACCCAAAATCTCCATGTGGTCCTTCACGGTGAAGGCCTGTCATCTAATCAGTCTACACATGAGGGGTCTTTTGCACATATCTCCACTCCAAAAACCGATCATATATCTCCGAGAATTGATAAATTGATCCCATGTTCTGAGTCTGGAGAATCTTTGGCCCACAGAGGAGAACCTTCCTCCCACCAGCAAGATCCAGGGAAGGGAAAACCTTATTCATGTTCCAAATGTGGGAAATTCTTTTCTCAAAAACAAAAATTCATTAGACACTACAGGACTCATTTCATTGAGAAGCTATTTTCCTGTTCGGAATGTGGCAAATGTTTCAAATGGAGGGCCCAACTGACCGTACATCAGCGGACTCACACAGGGGAGAAGCCTTTTCCTTGTTCCGAATGTGGGAGATGTTTCGCTGATAGGGCAACTCTGGCCAACCACCAGAGAATACATTCAGGAGAGAAGCCGTTTTCTTGTTCCGAATGTGGAAAATGTTTTTCGCAGAGGTCAAATCTCATTACGCATGAAAAAAGTTCATACCGGAGAAAGGCCTTTCTCGTGCCTGGAATGCGGGAGAGGTTTTACGTCTCGAATCAAACTCACTAAACATCAGAAAACCCACACAAAGGTGAAGCCTTATTCCTGTACGGACTGTGGGAAGTGTTTTCCCTCAAGAGCAAATCTCATCTTCCATCAAAAGACTCATACAGCAGAGAGGCCTTACTCTTGCTCCGAATGTGGAAAATGTTTTGTGGAAGCCACTGCTTTCGCTAAACATCAGAGAAGTCACACAGGAGAGAAGCCTTGTTCATGTCCTGACTGCGGTAGGCAATTTAGCCGAAGAGCACACCTTATCTCACATCAGAGGACTCACGCTGGTGAGAAGCCATATTCTTGTCTCCAGTGCGGGAAACGTTTTGCGGGAAGGGCCACTCTGGCCAACCACCAGAGAATTCACTTAGAAGAGAAGACGTTCTCCTGCACTGACTGCGGAAAAGTGTTTACTCGGAGAGGCCATCTTATTTCACACATGAGGACTCACACGGGGGAGAAACCGTATTCGTGTTCAAAATGCGGGAAATGCTTTGCAGCAAGGTCCACCCTGGCCAACCATCAAAGACTTCACTTAGAAGAGAAGCCCTTTTCCTGCTCTGACTGCGGGAAAGGCTTTATCCGGAGAGGCCAACTTATTTCACACATGAGGACTCACACAGGGGAGAAGCCATATTCATGTTCCCAATGTGGGAAGTGTTTTGCAGAAAGGTCGGCCTATGCCCATCACCAGCGAACTCACTTGGGGGAAAAGCCGCATTCGTGTTCCGAATGTGGGCGATGCTTTGCCAGGAAAAGCAACCTTGTTGCACATCAAAGAACCCACACGGGGGTAAAACCATATTCCTGTTCAGAGTGCGGGAAGTGTTTTTCCCAGAAAGGGAACCTTCTGTATCATCAGAAGACACACTGTAAGACTTTTTCCTGTTCTGAATGTGGGACATGTTTCTATAAAAGGTCAACTCTAAAGGACCATCTTCTTTCACATCAGAGAACTCACCCAGGGGAGAAGCCATATTCGTGTTCCTTATGTGGGAAATGTTTTAGCAAAGAGTCAGCTCTGGCCAACCATGAAAGGACTCATTCACGAGATCAGCCTTTTTGCTGAACTGGATGCGGCAAAAGCTTTATCCGGAAAGACCATCTTGTTTTGCATCAGAGGACACACACAGGTGAGAAGCCGTTTTCATGTTCTGAATGAAGAAAATGTTTTGCTGACCGATGGACTCTTTTAGAACCCATTTAGAACAGGAGCCATTTTCATATTCTGAATGTGGAAAATGTTTTGCTGAATGATCCACCATTGCCAATCATCTCAGAACCTATGTAGGACAGAAGCCATTTTCATGTTCTGAATGAAGAAAATGTTTTGCTGACCAATGGACTCTTTTAGAACCCATTTAGGACAGAAGCCATTTTCATGTTCTGAATGTAGAAAATGTTTGGCCGAATGAGCCACCATTGCCAATCATCTCAGAACCCATTTAGAACAGAAGCCGTTTTCATGTTCTGAATGTGGCTGATGTTTTGCTGAGTGATCCACCCTTGCCAATCATCTGAGAACCCATTTAGGACAGAAGCCGTTTGCTCTGAATGCGGCCAATGTTTTGCTTGGAAGGACAACCTCCTTTCCCACCAGAAAACTCACACGAGGGAAAAAGCCTTTTGCATGCCCCAATTGTGGAAAATGTTTGAATGAAAGGTCGACTCTTGCGAATCACCAGAGGACCCACTCAGGGGAGAAACCATTTTCCTGTCTGAAGTGTGGAAACTGCTTTTTGCAGAAGCCAAATCTTATCAAAACACAAGAAGATTCACATGGGGGGAGGTTCATGTTCACTGCACCAAAGATGTTTTTGAAATGACCTCTTGCCACTCGTGAAAAAAACTTCATATGGGGGGGAAGCTGCTTTGCTGTGACCATGAGAGATACATTTCCCACATGGAATTGATGTTATTTCCTAAAGAACTGGCACATGAGTGAAACTATTACCATATGTATTTGTATTTTTTTTTTTTTTAAACAAGTTTCATCATACCAAATACCAGGAGATTCATTTGGATGTAATTCCAATGTCTGAATATGGAAAATGTTAACCCGGGAAGACAAAATGATGCAGAGAGAACTTGTACAGTCAAAAAGCCATGAGGCGGTCTTTATTACATCAGAGAAGTTATAATGGCTAATAGTTTCTGAAAATGGTAAAAATTTTTTTTCTAAGGAAAATAAATCTTAAAGTTGACCTACAGGCAAACAGTTTAAATATATAAAACAGCAGTTTTATCTGTAAATAGATTTGTATCCAGTATTTGTACTTGTGTCCATCCTAAGATCTACACAGCCATACTAAACATCAGGGTCAGGCTGTTGGCCTGACTTTAGTCTACGACCGTTAAAGCAGAGCTCCAGGCTCCCCTCAAAAAATTAAGTCAGCAGGTACAAATACTGTAGCTGCTGACTTTTAATATAAGGACACTTACCTGTCCAGGGATCCAGCGATGTCCTCACCCCGAGCTGATTCTTCAGTCATCTTTGGGTGCAGGTGCTGGCATCTTCAATAAGGGAAACCGGTAGTGGAGCCTTGCAGCTTTACAGCTGGTCTCCTTCTGCGCATGTATCCCAGAAGGCTGCGGAAGCAGGAGGAAGGGGGTGGGGGCTGAATTTCCAGCTCAGATCGTCGTGGGGCATCTGACCAGAAGTGGGAACGGGTACCTATCAAAGCCAGGTACCTGTTCCCCTCCAAAAAGTGTCAAATGTGGCAGTGGGGGGGGGGGGGTGGAATGCAAACAAGCAGAACTTCCCCTTTTGGATGAAGTTCCGCTTTAACCACTTCACACTGGCGGTGCCTCCCAGCCCTTTAAGAGTTTCAGAAGCCGGGAGGTGGGCGGGGTTTTAGGGTCATGCGATTCGCCGTCGCGATTGGAAAAGGTCCTGATCGCAGGGCGCACACTCTTAGCACATATGTATTTTCTAATGGCACGCAAATATGTGGCCGCTCTGCGTCAAGGCGCAGACACCGAGAGGCTGCATATTTGCGTGCGCTCAGTGTCAAGGGGTTAAGCAATTCAGCCTGGTCACCTCCTTTTTGCCCATCCACTCTTGTCTCTCTTCCTATCAGAAAGTTTCTTGTCAGTGCTGATGCATTGAGTACACCTGATTGGCTCTTAAGTCCCTGCCCCTCCCACTCTCAGACTAATTCTGTTCAGGGGATTACAGGAACCTCATACTAGGTCAAAATTTGAGGGTACATTACATTTACAGGCGTACCTCGGTTTATGAATTTAATTAGTTCTGCGGGACTTTTCGTATTGCGAAAAATTTTTTAAACCGAAACGCGGTTTCCCATAGGAATGCATTGAAAATAAATTAATCCGTTCTGGAGGTCAGAAAAAAGTAAAAAAAAGTTTTAGCTGTTCAAAACTCTTATAAAGTGCACTTTAAAGGCATAAATACTGTACAGGGACATGATAAAAAAACAATTCGTAAATGCACTGAAAACCAAGTAATCGTTCATTTTGAGAAAAAAATTTGTAAACTGAGGCACTATTTTTAATGGATTTTCATTCGTAAACCGAAAATTAAGTTAACCGAGGCGTTCATAAACCGAGGTACACCTGTGCATTATTTTTGTAAAGAAAAGTATGGAATTTTTTCATTTCAATTTCCAAAGGCCCCATTTGGATGGCCTAATTTTTATGAGGCTATGTATATAAGGTACAAAAAACAGAGAACATATAAACCTCCTTCCCAGCAGCCCTTTCTCTCCCCCCATCCCGACGAGTACCCCCAAAATCTGTGAAACCCTTGCAAAAATTAGAACATTTATCAGTGCAAAATAAACAGTGCCTGGTGTACACAATGGAGGCACAAAATACTTTTTTCATACAGTACAGTGTCCTAAAAAGAATGCATTTCTGTTGTAAGATTTTGTCATTTAAATAAACAGTTGCAAATACAATGTAATGGTTCGAGTTTCTCATTATTCAACTTGTACAAAAAGAAAACATAATCTAGATTTATCTGCATAACATAACTCAAACCAAAATACAAATATGATAAAGCACCATAACCCCCTGTAAAGAGAGTTCTCGAAATACTGACCACTACTGGGTCATGCATAGTTTGGTGATGGAAAAGGGTAGAAAGTTCAACAGAATTAGGCAAGGAGCCTATCGAAAATTAGAGAGCTAGGTGCCAATTCCCGGGGTATCTAAAGTCCCCATAATTTGTCAATCTTACCAGAGCACCCCCGCCTAGAGTAAATGAGCTTCTCCATCACTTAGGCGTCATTAACATCAACCAATCTGAGTGAGAAGGTGGTAGGGAAACCAACCTCCTCTGGCAATAAGTGCTGGAATCTGCATGGAGGCGGGTATCAGTTCCTTGTCTATATAACCTAGCAGACACAGTTTAGGATCTAATGAAAAGGATCATGTGAAAATGGAGTTTATCGCATTTAGAACATCTGACCAATATTTTTGTAGCTGAGGACATCTCTAAAGCATTTTGAGGACATCTCAAGAGCATGTGAAAAAGAGTGCTAGGTGAATCCCCGCACCTCTCACAAGAGGCATCCAGGCATCACCTAAATTGAAGGTGTACAATAATCATGAAGCAAAAAGGTTGTTTTACCTTTTGTGGTTGTGAGAGATTGATTAAGGGAACTGAGTCCACCAACCACCTAGATCAGGGGTGGCTAACCTGTGGCTCTCCAGCTGTTGTGGAACTACATTTCCCATGAGGCATTGCAAAGATGGGAAGTTACTGACTTGCAGAGGCATGATGGAACTTGTAGTCCTGCAGCAGCTGGAGAGCCGCAGGTTGGCCACCCCTGACCTAGATCCTCTACCCAACCTGCTCTACATGGAAGGTCAACATACAGTGCTGATAGGTGAATACTAGTGTATAGATCTGAGATTACCCCCTAGTAGACTAGTAGAGGTGGCAGTGAGGAGTATTAAAGCTGGACAGTCCCATACACATGTCATGTTTAGCAGTTGATCCTTCCTGCCAGTGTGTCCCATAGAGAGGAATGGGGCTGCACCACAAACATGACGCATCTGCTTCCAATGGACGTGGTTGCAGCATGGAGAAGATGGATTTCAGTGTAAAATTTCTCTTCAAACAGGCGTCCAGGAGACAGTATATTGCGGCCAGATGCTCCTAACAAAGTGATCCACATTGGAAAAATCACCTAATACCAGGGTGGATAAAAATCAATGATTTTTAAAAAAAAAAAAAAAAAATAGGATTTTTTTTTTTATTTAAATCGGATTTTTTTTAAATAAAATGCTTTTTGAGGAAAATATATTATCATCCAAAGGTTATTCCATCATGAAATAAAGATTTGTTTTTTAATTATGTAGAATAAGGCTGTGTATGTTTAATTTTTTTGGTAAATAAATTCCATTAATCTATTCACAATGTCATGCTCTTCCAGAGGTTTTTGTAAGATTATTGGGCAGTTTCTCTGTCTACAAGATATTATTCACAGATGCTTGGTTTACTTTTGCAGTTCTCAAAACTGAATTTGACTCAGCGGAGATCACATGCCTCTTCTTCACAGCAAAAATGTTATATCATGAACCGAGTTAAGAAAAAGACCTTAATCCTAACTTCTACAAACCTATGAATACAGAATCAACCCCTTCAGTGCTAAGTTTCAAGAAGTTCAGTGAATAGAATAGAAACAATATTTTTCTGATTGTTTGGAGTGGAATAGATCTGCACAAGAAGAAAGTGAAACTAAGTGTGAGGAGGAAGGGGCTGACAGTCCAAGTTTCTTAAAATATATATATTTTGTTTAGCCAAATTAGTTAACAAACATGGATGTTTGTTTAAGCAAATAACATATGCTGTAATGTTATTGTTTCAGTTGAATAAATCTATTTAAATTGTTATTATTAAGGTAATGATTATTTTTCTCCTTCCTAAGTACAACAGAAAAGTTGTCCAAATATGAATGATTAACCTATTAAACTGGGGATAAAAAAACTAACATGAAAAGTTGTTATTCTAAAAATCTTCATCTACTTGCATATTAAAGTTATACCAGCAAGGATTAGTCTATGTAGAAAACTAGGATTTAAATCAAACCTTACTGACTAGTGATTTATAGCGTGATTTAAATCAGTTTGATTTAAATCAAATCCACCCTGTCTTAATACCCATTAGCCCTCCCTAAAAATCACTCACTAAAAAAAAAAAAATTGCAGTAAAGATGAATGAGGGAAAAACTTTCCACAGATCCTAGCTTCTGGCCTACTGGCCTAGGAGCTGGTGATTTTATATAGCCTTCCTACAGAATCCTGAGAAAGTTGGAAGTTCAGGCAAAACCTAAGACTAAACCTACACCTGCTGCCCCATCCCAAGGCTCTTCTATCTAACCCTGGTAAAGAATAGATCTGTATAGTTACCTGTTCTGAAGATATTCCGGTATGGCCTCCAGTGAGAGAGAGAGACCACCTGAAATGACTGGAAATGTCTGGGAGATGACGTCACCCACAGACTTACTATGGGGCATTTGTTGTTGGCTGCCCCTCCATACACAGAAGCTGCCGCTGACAGCTCAGATCAGGCTTCAGAATAGGTAAGTATCTATTCTTTACAGGACTAGATAGAACAGCCTTAGGATGGGGGTGGGAGTAGGTTTACCCTTAGGTTTTGCCTGAACATCCACTTCAAGATCCCACATCTTGCGAGAATGCACTCCTGCACAGTGCTAAGTAAAGCTGGGGGCTAAAAGGTAGGGATTAGATGCCAAGTCCACTTAAACTAGTGTTTTCACATCTACCTGCTCTGTGCAGTGGTTTGGCACCGAGCAGCCCTGATCTTCCTCTTTTCAGGTCCCCCTGCTTGT